CCTGTACCAGGTCCACGTGAAGAAGTTAGAAAGTTCCAGAGAGGGGGAGGGGCCCACAGCCCTGGCTGATGGGATCAAGAGGCCCTTGATGTACTCGTGACTGGGATTAACAAAATGAAACTTACAGTTCTTGAAAATTCTATATGTGATTGAAAATATGAAATATTGACCTTGTAAGAAAGAATAAGAAATATCTCAGCAGCAGTCAGTTCTTGTGAAGTTCAATTAAATGTCTGCATTTCTCCCCCCGACCTCCCTTGGGGTCACTTGCAGAGAGCAAATTTTTAAAATTCAAAGGACTTAAATAACTTTTTAAAATCTCAAATTAAACATATCCTCACACAGCACTTTTTAAAATAAGGATTTTAAAAGTCAAGACCTTTAAATTTCATTTCTTATATAAAACATTGCGATTCAACAGCATGCAGTTTTTAATCTGACTTGCGGAAGTACTTTCTAATTGGAAGTGTTGTAACCCACAGGTTATTAGAAGTGACATTCTGATTGTCAACCACAGAATCCAAATGTTTTAAAACCCTAAGCCATAACTTCTCATTTTATCTTTAGAAAGCAGAATGATAATGTCACTGTGGGTTTACAATGGAAGAAAAGTACTACAGAAATAAAACTAATCCATTCAGTCACAGAACAATTGAATGGAAGAATAAGAAATGAAAACAAAAGTCAAGGTAAACCACATGGCTAAAATCTAGATACTCTCTTATTCGTATAGTATTATCAAGTAATTCACAAGATACATATAAGCATTCTCTGATATAATTTAGAAATTACACATTGTAATATAACATAATTGTTAATTGCAATGAATTCCACGTAAAGTCTATATTAGTAGTATAAAAATTAATTTATACATTAATAAAAAGTTCATTTTAATAGCTTAGTAAAGTTTGACTAAAGAGATTTCTAGGAGGAACTAGCCCCCCTACAGAGATGGGGAAAACCTCTCTGACAGTAAACATCCTAATAGAGATTTAGGAAATTGAAACCAAATGTATCAAAGAAACTGAGAACAAACGTAGTTAACAAAATATAAAATATAACAGAGATTATAATGACCCAACTTCTCAGTGCATCTTCAGTGATTAAGAATCCCATGCTCCTTTTGAGTAAGTGATTTTCAGAAATAAGAATTCAAAGATCAATTTAATCTAATAATATTCCATATGGCTGAATAAAATACTTTATTTCAGAAGCCGTTGATTCACTGATTTCAGCTGTGTGACTCCCAATTTGTTCTGTGTTAGTGTCCTCTGCACTTGTTATGGGTGGGCTTGGGGTCTGAGGTTGCATTTTGTTCCTCCTTGTTGTCATTTTGTGTAGCACTGTCTTTTGACCTTTGTTGTAGATTTTTGGTGCAGTTATAACCTTAGCACCTACTGAAGTTCAGGTGCAGATCTACAAATTTTGAATTTATCCAGTTGTACCTGGCTTGGGTCTGGCTGCTGTGCTCAGCTCCTTCCTGCTGCCACCCTTGGGAGTAGATCCTGTTGTGCCCTTCTGGCAAGATGTTCTGCTCCTGGACTAGCTGGGTGGCTTTGTCCCCTACACTCTCTGCAGGGATTGCAGCTGCAGGGTTTTACCCCAGGCCTGTATGCCAGGCCTGAGCTGAGTCTGGAGGTGACAAGGTGGAGTAGTGGGGAGAGGAACCTCTCCCACACACTCACCTGGCCTGGGCTAGGACTGGATCTGGGGGTCCCCAGAACGTGGCAGAAATTCTCACTGGGTGGGCAGGGTGTGTGGGGGGGCTGCAGAGTGTTGGGTGGGTCCCAAGGGGGTGGAAGAGGGTCTCACCCATGCTGCACCTGGGCTGGGACCAGCGGGTCCCACAGGCGCAGGGTAGCTGGAAGCTCTTCCACACACTCACCGGGCCTGGGCTAGGACTGGATCTCCCTCAGTAGTTTCTATTGGCTGAATAAAATACTAATCAGTGTCTTTTTATTTCAATAAAGGAAGTTGTGAAAATGCACTAAAACAATATTTTTGGCAGTAGGTGGAAAGTGGGCTCAAATGGAAACCTTCAGCATGACTTAACTGGTTAGAGAGTTAGAGAAACAGGAGCAAAAAAGAGTTCCTGGGAAGAGACAAGCAGCAAACTCTTGGATTAATAACGAGCCTTAGAAATTGCTTAATAAGCACATCCATGGGGCCCTTTCTACTCATAGTTACATTGTAAGAGAACAGTGATTCAGAGGCCCCTTTTGTTCCTGCGATAGCAAATATTCAAGTGAGCACCAAGTGGGAAGCTACCAGATCCAGGGAAGACAGGAGCCTCGGGTGGGGCCCTCTCTGGGAAGGGCCGCCTTCCAGGTGTCACAGCTATCACAGCTGCAGAGGATGGAAAAGACAGGCAACTACAGAGGAAGTGGCAGGGTGGACCAGGGCCTAAGGTTCCTCCAAGCACCACCTCTCAGTAATGAGAAAGAAAACACTCTCCCTACTTCACAAATGCAGCTGTTCAACTCACACAGCTTTCTCTGTTGGAATGGAAATGGAAATTCTGTGTGCAGCTTCCTTCCTTACCTGCTCTGGCTCTCAGATTAAAGTTATCCAGCCTACAAAATGGGGGAGGGGTGAACTCAATGTTATTGATCTGTGGGATGTTTTATCCAAGGGTTCGTGTTAATCACTATCTTAGAGATAAGGAATCTGAGTCACAGGACTTAAATGGTTTGAGTCAAGTTAGGATTAAAATGTGGTCTTATTGGCTTAAGGCCTTGTCCTAATCTTGTTCAATGTTTAGATTTTAATCTTTAAACAGGAAAAAAGTATGTTTATATTTTTTATTCCTCTTGCTTTTAACTTTCTGGAAGATAATCATTTTTCAGTTACTAATTAAAAGGCTCAGTTAGTGGGCTCTGTAGTACAGTTAATACTCATACTGTTTCAGAACACCAAAGGCATTCCTGTTGGAGATATATTGCATGTTACTGTGCAACTCAGATAGCATTTTAAAACATACCTATCCTGAGAGAAAATGTGAAATATATGCATGCCCATTTTACAAATACGCAACAAAACTGAACCTATTACCAACAATCTCTAAGGGAACTGTTTGATACTAACACAGTTAAAACACTGGAATATCCTGTTGGTCAGAACTACAAGGAAGAACAAAGGAAATAAAACAATGCCAGTTCTCATAATCCTGGAAGAAAAGATACTGGCTTGAGTGCAAACCCAACAACTCACTGTATAAAAGGGAGAAGACAGATCAGATCTGTGCAGGACTAATTTCAAAAGCTAGTTAAGAAAACAAAACAAAAAAAGAAAAAAAGAAAAAAATGGAAACAAAGCTCTTGTAAGCAAGTTGGAGAAGAGAGATTGAAGGGAGGGGAGGACATTGGGGAGAAAAAAAAAGAAGAAGAATCAAGATATGTCACATACAGGTACAAATCTCCTATGATGAATGTAATCAATATGCACATCTAAAATGTACCAATAAAACTAATTTTAAAAAAGAAAAAAAGAGCCACTGCTTTGGTGCATTGACCTAACTCTTCTGAGTAAATCCTATTACATAATAATAAATTTTTCTCTACTTTTTGAAGTAGGCCAACTTCACCAAGATGTTTCTGGGTTGATTATAGCATTTTCTTTTCATTTTTTTCATTAGTATATTTAGCTATACATAATGATAACAGTCATCATAGAGAATTTGTACATATACATGATATGTCTTGCTTCTGACCATAGCGTTTTAGTTTAATTCTCAAATTCTCCTAGTTATAAAAATCATCTGAACTATTTATGAATTTTATAGGTTCCAAATACAGAGCCAGACAATCATATAACTAAGGACACATCCCCTGACTGAGTCATGATTTTACCAGTTAAAGGACTTCAGTTAACCTCAAATAGGTTTGTTTTATACTCCTAAAGTATACTTTTATAATATGCAACATGTAAAAACAAATGCTATTTATTTTCAGTTGGATTTTTAAAAGTTCCCCGCAGTTACTGAAGGAAACACAATGGATGCCAATTAAATTTCAGTAAACGCAATGTTTGCGAAAACCTAGTTTTTAGGCTACATTAAACTTGGTATAATTCTTAACCTTAACAATCAGTATCAAGTACCAGAGCTGAAGACACTGCTAGTAGCTCAAACTCTAGCAAAGCAGGTAATGTTGACAGTTGCTGTCAGGGTAATAGAATGTGGTGATGTCATGCAGCCCCTCTTTCCAGCAGCCTCAGCTATGCAGGTACACAAAGCTACTGTGTGTTGACCCAGAAGACAACTGCTGACAAGTGCACAGTCATTCCACAATCTTAATACTTGTGTCTTTTTGGGCCAACAACTATGGCCTCTTTCCCAAAGACCAACACATTTTTCACAATGCTCATTCATATGTATGTATAAAAGCATCATAAAAGAAACCGTTTCCAAACATATTGTGTTTTTCTTAGCACTGTCTCGAAGATATATCAAAACTTGTTTCTCATTAAGACACATTTTAAGGATGTTTTTAAGTAAAAATTGTGAACTCATTCTAATTATAAAATACAAAAACATCACAGTGCTCTTCTCTGAGTTTTTCTCCATTACTTCTAAATTCCTTAAAATTATAGAAGGAGTAATACATAATATTAAGAGAATAAAATATTTTTATTTTCAATTTATGACATTGCCTCTAAGATTATACTTGCCTCTCTTCAATTTTATGTTAACTTGCTTTTCAATCCATGGGCTGAGGCCTTTCATTACACCCAAATTAGACCTCACTACCTCTTAACATCCAGAGACGCTAGAGAAGGTGATTCATGAATTTTTATTGTTCCTTTGTACATCACTAGTCACTGAAGTATATACGTATTTGAGATTTTTTCTACTGCAACAAAAGCTTCTCACTAGCAGTCAAAGTGAGTACACTTGTTTATTGTATATAATCTTGAGTGTGCTTAGTGACTTCTTAGAAATCAATTGTGAATATTTTGTTTGTTTATGACTTCTTTCAGTGTATTCAATAAAAGAGTTGTAAAAATAAAAAAAATAAAAAATAAATAAACTTGGTATACAAGGAAAATAACTTTCAAGGATAAATGTATATCAAGTTGCATCCTATGCTTGAATTGTTTTAGAGAATTCCAGTGTTGAGAGGAATGATCTCAGCAACCACCAGAAAGGTGTGGGAGAGGGGTAATATAGTCACTAAATTGCTAACCAAGTTTTCTGCTCCAGGGAAAATCATTACAAGGCATCCTGGGATGTCTAAGTGCAACATGGCTTAATGCTGAATATATTTTTATGACTGGAAAAGTAATTAAAATGGACATTTAAAATGTAAACATTCCTTACATAAGAAACTAAAGTGTAACAACATACATGGAAAGAGAAGACAGGACTCACCAAGCACTGTCCTAAAGCCAGAAGAAATAGTGCAAATAATGTTGCAGGCAGAAAAAAAGCAAAAGAAATGGAAGATTATTGCATGTCGGTATTAACAGCCAGTTAAATAACTCTCCATGAAAGAGAACAGCTTGTTGGGTGTCGGAGAGCACAGAAAGCAGCAGAATCTCAGCAGAGTCTCCGTGCTCATGATGTGTTCAACAGAACGTATCATTGGAAAAAGACAAGACCCCATCTCTCTTGCTTCTCTGGAGATCCACCCATGGAACCCAAATTACTGGCTCTCCTGAGAAAAATCTTCCTCTAGGATTACGAAGCCATAGAGCCACTTAGAGTGCATGGAACTCTACAGTGCAAGCAAGCAGCTGCAGGAGCTGGGGCATAACCTGGTTTGGTCGTTCTCTAAACTAAAGGCCAGGCCAAGTCACACTGTGTTTGTTCTTAAATTCTGCATAGGCATCACATACATAAGTACGACTCAACACCAAGTCTGTGCATATGAAGATATGAATACAATAACCAGATAGTCTCAGGTATCCAGAATCAAAGCTAGTCTAAATCCCAACCCTAATGCACATCCACAGGCACACGCATGCACATGTGCGTGCACACACACACACACACACACACACACACACACCTCAAGGGCCTTTATGAGGGCCAAGCTCCCTGTTCCCAAACACCGTGAAGCCCACTTCCGCCTGCTTGCCAGCTGTCTGCCACCCACAGGAGACAGATGAATCCATGACTGTCTCTAAGCCCACCACCCTTCTCTGTTTTCCTGGACTTCTGAAAAGGCTTTTTCTCTCCGAGGCCTTTCCCATGCTTCTCACTTTCACATGAGAAGACAGGCCAGTCAGCTGGCAGGCCAAGTCCACTCTGTAATCTTGGAGTGTTCAACTCTGCTTGACTGCTTTCATCACTTGCTACTCCAAGTTTTTACTATGGAGCTAGAAAGGCTGCTGGGCATCATTCTAGAAGCCTGATGGGAAAAAAGTGTTGATTTCTAGGTAATCCGTTGTATAGTAGCATTTAAAGTTGATTTAAATCTGTTGTTAGAGGCATATTTAGATTCTCTATTTTTTAGAAGAGTATATCATCATAAATGCAATCCTTACTATCAAATCAATTTGGTATTCATTAATCTATTTTAACTCCAGGAATAAGGTACACATAGATAAAAGCCCTTAAATTAATATTACCTGAAATTTAACTCATAAGTCACCAGTTCATAAATTATTTCAAAATATCAATCACTGATAGTACTTACAGTAGCATGATAGTTTCTATACATGGGCATTTTTAGTATCTTGGTCAGGTAATCTTCCAGTTGTTTCTGTAATACAAATAATTTTAGATCAGAGTTAATATGGTTAGATTTATAGAAAAATTTAAATAGTGACAATAATGAGATCATCCTTTCATCTCAACTTCTATAAGTTATTCAACTATTTACTCATATTATTAGTGTTATGGAATCTTAAATAGCGTGGAGGTACTATTTCTTATTTTTTTAAATGTATTTAGTACAGAGTCTACAGGGTTTCACTACACAGATCAAACTCATAGTGATCCTCCTGTTTTCAGCCTCCCAAATGCTGAGATTACAGGCTTTCACCACCATACCCAGTCTCAGTCTCAGCGTGCCCCAGGGGCGGGGCCAGCACAGTTTATTGGCTTGAACTCCAGTCCTTGTGCTCTGCCTAAGCAGGCACTTCATTTTGCTGAGTTATATGGCCAGCCCTACGAAGGTATTATTTCTATAGTTCTCTTAAATTATTATTTAACTTTCTTCTGGCCATTTCACTTTCCTATGCATTTAGTACAGGGTCTACAGGGTCTCAGTATACAGATCAGACTCATAGTGATCCTCCTGTTTTCATCCTCCCAAGAACTGGGATTACAGGTACACACCACCATGCCCAGTCTCAATTGCCAGCTTAGAATACCCTGGGGGTGGGGCTGGCATAGCATGCCCGGATTGACCCCAGTCTAGTCTGCCTAAGCAGGTGCTTTATTTCACTGAGTCATCTGGCTTGCCCTTTCCACATGCTTAGGCTTTCATACATTGCTGAGAAAACCTGAGATATACATGTTTTTAATCTTTGGTAGCTATTAGAAAAGGACTTGTACATAGTAGACAATTTAATGCATGCATTGATTTTACCAAAAACCTATATTTTTTCCAGTTCTAATATTTAATTTACTGGAATATAAATTTTTAAACAGCCTTCAAGGAAAAAAAGAATGGGGTGTCAAAAGAAAAAGACTACCTGGTAAGATTTACCCCAATTGTCAATGTGTTAGAAGGTATAAAAGTTTATGGGGAAGTGGAACAAAAGGTTTGGGCAGTAGAATGATACAGTTCAGGCACTTTGACTGTGACACAGAATTTGGAATCATTTTGCACAAGCATGAAGGGTTACTAGTCACAAGCATCTTTAGCTGGACTCTGACATGTGCATACAGTAAGCCAACACTATAAAATTTCATATGTCTAGTGTCTTAGAAAACATTTAGCTCAGATCCCTAAAAGGATTTTAAACAAGTTGACAACTACAAAGGAGAAATCAAACATTTCTTCTGGAACAAAAAAAGGTTCAGATTATCAAACAGAACTGACAGACATAAATGAATTTCTTATGAATATCATCATTAAAGAATACATCTGACACCCCGAAGCAGAGCAGACGGAAATGTTCCTTGTCTTGAGTTTCCTACCTGAGCACATCTGTGCTCTTACTCTTCTCAGACCTTAAGCATAGCATAGAAATCCGATTTGACATGTACTTTAAATGAGCTACTACAAATACTGCAAATGGATGGAAATATAAGGCGTGAAAAACATGGACTTCAAACTTACAATACGCTTAATCAGCCTTTGACCAAAGCCAGCCCAGGGAATGTCAAACTGGAAGGCTGGCCTCTGGGTAACAAAATTCCTACGAATACTCCTCCTCTCCAGGGACCATGAGCCCTCTTTATGGTTTGGAGAAGTGACCTGCTAGCTCAAGAGAAACAGAACCAGCTGGGGTCACTAATCAGTGGTGAGAGAAGCTGCAGCCAGACCCCCCATCCCAGTCATTAGATGCCACATTTCCACAAAAGTCTGTTCAAAGCAACAATAGGAAATAAGACTTACCCTTCTTCCAAAGAACTGTTCTTCTTGAATTGTATTTTCATGTGAACTGGGCAAACTGGGCATTTCTCGAGGTTCCTCCCCTTTGACATTTTGTCTTCTAAATGTGTGCCTAAAATACACACCCAAAGCAAACTTTCATTAAATTGTTCCTTAATTATAACTTTCATACCTTACATGAGGTGGCTTATTTTGTATTTTTTTTTTTTTGGTATATTATTAGTATGTATTTACAATTCATGCAGTTTACAATCAACTTCAGGAGTGGTTGTATGTGAGCTTTTTTCTTTTTAGAAAAGGCTTATTTTGTAAAGAGCTTATTTAATTGGGAATATATACCAACAATAGACTAGAGAGTGAACAAAACACACCATCACCCAACTTGATCGCTGGGATAACTTTATATTCATTCTGAAAAGGTTACCTTTTGGTGGGAATGGGTATGCGGATGAAGGCTTTGTACTTAAGCAGTTCTCTGTGAAACTCTTGAAAGTGCTTGAATTTCCTCTTAACTTGCCATTTAAATTCCCCATGGGTTAATTCAATAGTGTACAAATTGATACTTGCTACCTGTGGTGATAAATAAATTTATTGATGTCTCAGATAAAAAAATTCAAAAGATTTCAATGAACCATAGCTAATTAATAGGTAACATGGAAGTACATTTAAGTTCACACTACATATCCTCTGTAAGTACTTAACATTTATTTTTCAAAAACTGATTGTGAAAATATTCTTTTCAGTAATATTTCATTTTCTTTAAATATTCTCTAAATATTACTTAAGAGAATAATATGCTCTTATTCCTCTGATCAATTACATAAGACAAAACTGTAAGTCTTGTCCTTTCATCATGCATGTGCATACATGTTCATGTGTGTGCATGCACACACACACTTAGGAACACTGGAAACCAGAAACCAGGTAATATAGACAATGAACAAAGGCGCTGATTAGCATTGGGTAGTCTAGTTTCATACTTGAGCAGTGAACAGGCTGTTGACAGAGGTGGGAGAGAAAGAAACAGGAAGTAAAGGAAGCCAGAGCACCACCTTGGCCCTTTCTGCCCTCCACAAAAGGCATGAAAGCCTTCTCTCCTCCTTCTGAAACAATTCCAAGGTTCAAGCTTGGCTACACCACACCCCTGCCCTGAGGCCACACCAGGAAGGGTGTGTGGAGAAAGCTGCTGCACTGGTGAAAATTCAAAATTCAGAGTATGCTTATATAATACATGTACTACTACTATCATTATTATTATTTGCTCATAACAATATATAAGGCAAGCACTGTGATACTCACTGCTTGGAGGAACAAAATGAGAATTTAAGTAACTTGCTCAAGGTCACAAAACAAACCTGGGAACTAAAACATGCAATCTTGTTCTACAGTGCATACATGTAACTCCTATGTAACTCCTAATTGTAACTGTCTATCAACCTAAAAGCTGACAGGCAAAGTAAGAAGCAAAGTTCATGGAAGAGAGGCCTCACAGTTTATCAGAGAGACACAAGCCCTTCTCCTAGGAAAGCCCAGAGCAAAAGCTGGACTCCAAGATGTGTGTAAAGCGACAGCCAGCAAGGTGCTAGGACAGAGCACTTGGCAGAACCAGTGCTGCCAGCCTTCAGGGCACATGCAGAGAGGAACAGGAAAGCCTGCCCAAGGCCAAGGTATTATTCTCTCCCTTCTCTGAAGCACGAGCTAGCTACAGCTTTCCCCTGCCTTTGCTTTCATTTAACCTGCTGCACAAGGGCCACCACTTACTCACTGACACCTTTCCCTGACTGCCACATTTTCTGCAAACCCAGGCAGTCACAGATGAAACACAGCTCAGTCACCCCCAGCTTGCCTTTTCAAATGGCTCAGCTGTGCCTGCTGAAGGCATTTACTGTGAGCCTTTCTCATGTTCAATGAAAATATTTGTGCATGAGGACCTAAGGACAGGTTCCCAGGAAATCATCAGACTGGCAGAGGAGGCCAGGAGAATTCTCTCAGGGGGGCTCTGGGATAATAGCCTTCCCCAATTCCAATTGCTGTCTTTTTTTTTTTTTTTTATTTCAAGAGCTAAGTAGCACCACCAGTTTTTTGCTACACAAGCCCTGACCTTGATTCAGCATTCTAGTTAGAATAGCTATGCTCCAAGAAGAATCCAAATGAGGAGAAAACTGGGGAGAGAGGAAAGCAAAGGGAGACACCTTATGACCTACTGAATTAATAAGTTGCCATAAATGTCACTCAGACAGCCTTGTCGAGCAAAGAAGAAAGGAGTATGAAACTAGAGATTTTTAAATGAGAAGGGAACAAATCCCAAGAGACGACAAGGACTTGGAAGTGACAAATAAAAACCAAAGTCCAAAACCATGATACTAATTAGGAGGAAGAGAAAGAAAAGTCAAAGTATTAGTTCATATATATTGACCAAAAAAAGGTGAGTCCGTAAGTGCTCTGACCCTTGACGTAGACGTGAAACGCTCCACTTCCAGAACTTGCGCTTTTATCGGACATCCGGAGAGATACGTCTGTATATTAGGCTCCTTAAATCCTTGAGTGTTATAAATGGCAGAGAAAGGGATATACACTAAAAAATAAATAATTAAATAAGGTTATTCCGATAGGTGACAGTCGCATGCCTTGCCTCTTACGGGAATCCTCTGAAGAGTCGTGATTGTCCAAAGGAGTAAGCTTCCTGGGAGCGCATCTCAGCCCAGTGTTAAGGCGTCAGTGAAGAGGACAAGTCATCTGCCGGGTTTCCAGATTGTGCTCTGCCAACCGACCCTGACCAGCACCCCTGCCCCCACCCCCGTATCACCTATCTTCACCTTCCTGAGCCTTGGGGTCACTGGGTGACACATCATAGTCCACCTCCTCTCCTTCGAAATGCAGCTCCCGAGTGTCCAGGTTTTCTATCAAGTTGCTCATGTCGGCAGCGATTTTCTGCAGTGCCGAGGTATTCACTCGTGACTCGCTTTTCAGTGACATGTTACCTTCGGACATGGTGAAACCAGTGGGGCTGGAGAAGAAAAGAATTACACACAGATGTATAATTTGACCAAGTAAGACCGCATCACACAATGCGAATCCACACCCAGACACAGCAGCTAAAACAAGACACCCAGGTCCGGGTGAGCACTCACTTATTCCCAACAACATTTCAATTGATTTTCCTGCTTAATGTTTAAAGAATTCCTACTTTGTAAACTATGATACGTAAAATATGTGTCTCCTATTCGCTGAATTCAACAAAGAAATGCTTAGCTGTGCCATACTTAGCTGTAAACAAAAAAGAAAAAGGAACATCACACCAAAGAAATGTCAAAATTTCTCTCACCAAATTTTATGAACTTAGATAAATTAGGATAGATTGAAGGAAGCTTGACTTGGGAATGCCGATTCAGTGAAAAGAGCGTGCTTGCTGACTGTAACAAGTAGATGGAAAGAAAGAATGTTACTGAAATAAGCAACTTTCACTGTTTCTTCAAGAAAAATGAGGATAGTTCCCATATCTAAATAGGCAGACTTAGGGATGTTGCTATGATAGCAGATTGCCACATTTTCTCTGCAGCTGACACCCCGAGCAAAGAGTTTACCCGCTTGAGACATGAGGTTTTGGCTATGACTTTGATTAATATACCTGTTTCAAAAGATACTTGAGGTGCTAGAATTATGCTTTTCTCCTTTTTTGAAAGGAAACCACTCCTATTTCATTCTGACATTTAATAACACAAGTCGTTGCACATCAGTAACCAGGGAAGAAGAATTCCTATACATTTTATTTTTCGCTGAAAATACTAAGATTTAATCCTTAAGGACTGTCGTCTGAGCTGGATGAAAAATCTATATTGCCTAATGCAGAAATAATCTCTCCATTATGACCAGGTTCGAAATGGAAAGTGTCTCATACCCCTAATTCTTCTGCATATGTTCATTTACTACTGCAAATCAAAAGCATTAACTAGGTCTCCATGGGTGAGCTGCAATGAACGAGAATGTGAGCATGAAGAAGTCTTGTGCCCATAATTAGGGAGTTTCTGACATGGGTAAGAGAAAAAGCCAGAGAATTCCAAGTGCATCCCTCACCTCTCTCAAGGTCTTAGGCTTCCTGAAAGTGGACTGATAGGAAGGCATCTTTATGAGACTATTTCCTGTAGGTGCTATCATGAAAGGGGAGGTTCACAAGGAAGCACTAAGAACCTTAAGCAAACTCAAGACAGTTGTTATTATAGCACCTCAAGTCTCTAAAAGGTATACATGGAAAAAATATCATTTTAAAAAAGGGCTGGCCAAATAGCTCAGTGGATTAAAGCACCTGCAAGCAGATGCAGGAAATAGGGATTTGATCCCTGGGCCTGCTGTGCCGGCCCTGGCTCTGGGGCCTGCTGAGATGGTAGTTGAGACTGGGCGTGGTGGTGCATGCCTGTAATCCCAGCTCTTGGGAGGCTGTAAACAGGAGGCTCACTATCAGTCCGATCTAGTAGTAAGACTGAGTTCAAACCCTGGTTCCACCAAAAAAAAAAAAAAAAAAAAAAAAAAAAAAAAAAAAAAAAAAAATCATTAAAATGTATACATGGCTGTGTAGAGAGATCCTAGTTGGGGCCAGGGAGAGCTCAACAGCATAAGCATCTGCCTGTCAAGTGCAAGACCCAAATTCAATCCCCAGTATCAAAGAGAGAGAGAGAGAGACCTTGGAAATTCAAAGATGACAGTGAAACATGGTGACTCTACTTTGGCCACATATGCATGTACAAGGCATATCTCCCTGTGAACTGCATAATTTATTGTGTTGCTTTTCCATCTTCACTATAAAGAAGGCTGCAGCCAAATTTGCAGTCTGCCATTAACAAAATATAGTACTATCTTTGCTTATATCTCTTCCCTTCAACCTCCCATTTCTAATCTGTTATAACAATAGCCAATGGATAGCTAGTTTTAGTATTATGTGGTTAGTGATAATCATTTATATATACTATTACACTGATGATTAATACCAAATCTATGAAAATTTGCTATTTCCATTTTGAAGATGACAAGAGTTTGATTTTCCTTCTTCATAGATAAGAAAACCAAGGCACAGTCATTAGATAACTTGACTGAGACCAGACAACCTGAGAAGGAAACACATCTAGTAAGAGGTGAAGCAGAGATTTCAAGCCAGCCTTCTCTGACTCAAAAGCCAGTGTTCTCAACCTCAGTCATTACCTTGATGTCTACTTTTTTGTAGATCTCTACATGACCTTGTAGAGAGAAGTGTTGATATATACAAATACTGCTGAACAAGTCCCTTTAAGAGCTAACTCAATTGAAAGAAGTAGAAAATGAAGTTTGTCCCGTAGCTCAGCCTACATATGACAGAGCCATTTCAACTCTCAGGACCTCAGTTTCCTCATCTCTCAATTAAGGGGACTGAGCTCTTTCATTTCTAGGGTCCCCTTATAGCACAACATTCATTATAGACAAAAGGTGCCATAAATTGTTCAGCTTCCTTACAATGTATTTAACCTTCTCCTATTCCAAGGAATGAATACAAGTAGTTCTGCACTTGCATAGAGGAAGTACGGGCAGAATGTTATCTAACCTGGAAAACTTAATTAAGGTCTATTCAGCCTCCATTAAGGAGCTGCTGTCTCTGAACACAAGTAAAATATGTATTTCCTGTTCTCTTAAATTCAACAAAGAAATGCTGAGTAGATGCCAACTATGAGCCACATTTGACTTTATTGAAACAAAACATAAGGAAAAGTCCAAAGGAAAGGAGACAAGGAAAAGCAAGTCAAAAATTACATCATATTACTGTCACTTGTTAACTTTTAAAAAAGATTTTAGTTATTTTGTATTGATAAAACAGACTTAAAAATTAACATTACCATCTTTCTTTGCATAGTGAAGACAAATAAATTAGTCCCAATGTCCTTCCTTTTTTAAAAAAAAGTTATTATTAAAAATGCATGTTAATTTCAAGGTATACAGAAATTAATCTACACATTGTAACATAATTGGGATAAATAATATAGAGCCACTAGATAAAGCTAACCTAAATACTATATTTCAGATAGAGATTTTAAATAAGCATAGTAACTTGTGGGAAACCTGTGCAAAAGTAGAAAAGAAACATTAAGCACTTATTACAGAATAAAGCCAATTTTAACACCATATATTATTTCAAATTTAGACCCTACCAGGGGCTAGCAAGATAGCTCAATGGACTAAGCACCTGCTTTGGCAAGCACAGGGACCAGGGATTGATCCCCAGTCCTGTATGTCATGCTGGCCTCACTCCCAGGGCATGCTGAGCCAGCAACAGAGTCTGTGCTTGGTGGCACATGCCTGTAATCCCAGAGCTGGGGAGGCTGAAAACAGGAGGATCATCATGAGTCCAATCTGCATAGTAAGACCCTGTACCAAACACACAAATGAAAAAAAAAAAGTAGACCCTACCTACAGATATGATTATTTTGCAAGATTTATTTGCAATAATCTGCCCAAGTTTACTACCCTTGTGTCAAGACTGATTCAACTTTGGGCGGGGGGGGGTTGCATGCTGGGGCTTGAACCCATGCCTCAAGGATGCTAAGGAAATGCTCCACAATTGAGTTACACTCCACCTCATGACTGACTTCATAGCAGATTTGACTGGCTTTAATTCTTAAGAACTTGGTTATAGGAATATATATGTATATATATTCCATATATATATAGAATATATATACACACATACACACACACACATATATGTGTGTGTGTGTGTGTGTGTGTGTGTGTGTTTGAGACAGTGTCTCCCTATGTATTACAGATTAGCTTTGAGCTCAATTTGTAGCCCAGGCTGTTCTTGAACTCACAATGATCCTCTTGCCTCAGCCTCCCAAGTGCTGGGATCACAGGGATACATCACGATGCCTGGCTATATAATCGATTTTATTTTATGGTCTGGAATATCTATCAATTTAATCTTTAACATAAAGTTTACTTATGTTTTGTGACAAGTGATATCTTCCACTTTAATCACCGCACCTTTGAAAAAAACCAGACTAAACCTACAGTCATAAGAATGATGGGAACAGCCTATGCTGACAGCTTCCTGAAGTTTTATGATTAATAAAGTAAGGTCACATGGCAGTTCAGTGGGCCCAAGGATCAGCAGATTTATGCATTTGTTTGTGAAGACTTCACCACCTAATGATGGAAAATGAATCAAGTGACTTGTCCATTACTACCTTTACCTGAGTGCTTCATAATGTTTTGGGTTGAATGTCCAACAATTGCTTTGCTGGTATCAATCTTGAATACTGGGCTGCAAGTCTATGTGTGCTTCTGTGTTGTCAAATCTTTACTTACTGGTCAATGTTCTCTTTTATCTAAAATAATCTACCCAGGGCAAAGGAGGAAGTGAACAGATGCCCAGCTACAGCCTGAGCTAAGCAGCATGCGATAAGGCCCCCAGTGTTTACACTTGAGATAGTGTGATTCATTTTGTTACCTCCTTATAAAATAATACTGCAAGATCATTACCTCGTTCAGTACCAAGAAGAGACAGTATCTATGGAAAGATAAGAGCAGCTGTGTTTTACTTCTGTTTGCATTGGTAAATGAGGGTTGACAGTTCCCCCCACCCCAGTTGTGAATATTAGGAAAACAGTCTTTGCAGGGAATATTCAATGACTTCCTGTTATTCAGTGATGAAAAATTTAAATATAGCATCTTTTGATCTCAGTTCTCAATTAGATGAGGAAGTAAAATATCAAAGAGAAGCAATTATTTTCCTTTTCAGATAATAAATATATAAACATTCCCTCCGCCAAAATAATACTAACAACATTATCCAGTATAATTAATATTAAAGTAAATATTAACACTAGCAAATATTTGCTGAATATGTGCTAGATGCATTCACTGTGCAAAGAGATAAACCACATGACCTTACTCGATCCTTGCTACAATCTTAGAAGCCAAGTCTTACTGTTACCCACACTTAAAGAGAAACTTAGACAAGGAACTTGCTCTGGGACAGAGTGCTGGGG